GCGTCCAAGCTTGCCCTTCCCACGAATACCACGTGTCGGGGTGTCGACGAGCGAGTCGAGAAATGCAAAGCATTCGTAGCGACCAACGTAGACCTCTGGCGCCAGTCCTAGCTCGAAGATACCAACGGGCTCAAGTTAGACCGCTCAACAACGCAATGCATTTGCCCATTCATTCCACCATTTTTAGCTCTCCCACACACATGTTCATGTGCTTCCGCCTCCGCCCCTAGTGTCACGCGCCTCCAGAGCAAACGTTACAGCCATCGTATTGGGACGCTGCCAACTCGCACAGTTGGCCCCCGCGAGCTTCCAGAATACGTGAAAGGCCTGTCGAGTTCATCACATCGCTTGGGGGCAATCGAAGAGGATGGCGGACGCCGCGATTCTTGGCGTTCCCGCCGCACACGGCTGCCTTGCGGAGATCATTGGCCATGCAGACGACACGATACTGTGATACCTGTTTATGATCAGGAGCCGTGCAACGCAAGCGCTGTAGCCTGCTTGCCAAATTGAGCGCGCTTCTGCGGCGACATGGATCCGTGACCACATGGTCCACACGGTCAAAATTGCTTTCAGTCTCTTCCATGGAGCCCTCCGGCAGGCTGGTGGTCTTCCTGTGCGAGCTTCGAGTCGATATCTATCTGTCGTACTCATCCTAAAACTCTCGGACGAAAGTCCATCTCTACAGGTCTAACTCTAGCTTACCCACGCTTTTTGCATCGTGCGGCAACAACTACATGCTGCCCACTCCATCTACTCAATATTGTCCGCTCGGTGTTTCGATAACGGAGCGCGTGCCCATGTTCCTGAGGGCCTCCCACGGACCGTTAGCTTCTGCTGTGAAGCGCCGCCATGGATCCCACCGATAAAAGCACGAACTTTTTGAGTTCAGCCGTGCGCTCTGCTCCCCTCCGACCGCCTGCCCATGATGGAGAAGACCACGGATGACAATTTCTTCGTAGTCGCCTCTCATGTCGTGAAGGACGAAAAGGACCTTGAATCCCTCTCTCAGTCTGGCTTGGCCGACGTTGTTGACGCTGACTTTGTCGCTCCGACAGAAGAGGAGCTGAACACGTTGCGTCATGTTCCCGACAGAGTGAACTGGGCGACGTACTGTGCGCTTCTTTGCTACGCTTGACCTAGTAATTGCGAAGCTCAAAAATGCTCAAGTGATTGCGTTCATCGAGATGGCCGAACGCTTTTCGGTGAGCTACTAGACTCGTCCCTCCATGGGATCGTGTACTAAATATAACTCGTAGTTCTACGGTCCGTGGAATACACAGTCTTCTGCCTGTCGTAGCTCACTATGCATCCGGCCCCGTCAGGGAGCACCGTCGTCTTCGTACGGTCCTCTATGGACTCTTCTTGGAAATCATAGCTCACATACCATGCGGATTAGGTTAACTTTATCCAGCAGCCCCGCCCAGCTGGCTCCCCAACTGGTGCCGGATTCAATGGTCAGTCCGGAGCTCTCGGTCAAGGCCAAAGGGTGTCGACTGGCCTGACGACGCTCAATCAATTTTGGTAAGAGAAGGGAGAAGACGAAATACTCGATGGCTCAGTGTCTTCCAGGTCGTATGTCACGCCTCTTTTGGGGGCTTACGTAGCAGACACGTACTGGGGTCGCTTCAACACGATAGCTGTCTCTGTCGCAATCGCTCTCGTTGGACATGTGCTGTTGATCGTATCGGCTCTTCCTCCCGTTCTGGACCACCCACAAGGTGCTCTCGGCGTTCTCAGTCTTGCTATCGTCGTTATGGGCTTGGGAACAGGAGGTTTCAAGGCATGTACATGGTTTAGGGTCGAAGGGAAGATGAGTGTGACTGAAGTTTTCTAGAGCAACATATCGCCGTTGATCGCAGAGCAGCAGAAGAACTTGAAGCCGTTTGTCGTGACAAGAAAGGACGGGGAGCGGGTCATAATAGACCCAACGCTCACTACGTCCCGAATCTACATGGTATATTTCATGTAACTCTTCCTTTCTTGCGCGCTCAACGAGCCTCTACAGTGGTTTTACTTTTTCATCAATGTAGGGTAAGTTGTCTAGCAATGGCTCAACACAAGCTAATATTTATGCACTTGTCGCAGTTCTCTCGTCGGACAGATAACGATGGTTTTTGCGGAGAAGGTAAGTTGGATCCGATCCGGATTTCTCATGGTCGGTGGCCGACCCTTTGATAGTGGGTCGGTTTCTGGCTCTCGTACACGCTCCCTACCATCGTCTACCTGTGCTGTCCTATCATACTGGTTATTGGGCGCAACCTCTATCGTCGCACACCACCGCAAGGCTCGGTTCTCGGGAATACTCTCCGCATTTGGAGGTATGCTGCTCGTGGCAAGTGGTCGTGGAATCCGGTGACCACGTTCAAGCGTCTTACTGCTTCGGACTTCTGGGACTCGGCCAGGCCAAGCCGTATCCCACCTGAAATGCGCCCTGGCTGGATAGTGTTTGACGATGCATGGGTAGACGAAGTCCGTCGTGGTCTCAAGGCATGCACGGTCTTTTGCTGGTTTCCGCTTTACTGTACGCTTTCTTTTTCACCCGTCGCCTTCGCACTTCATCCAGGCTTTCCCTCTTGCACACAGGGCTCACGTACAACCAAATGATCAATAATCTAACATCTCAGGCAGCCACTATGACCCTACACGGAGCCCCCAACGATGTAATTAACAATCTGGATCCCCTGGCTCTAATTGTTTTCATTCCCATCTTCGACGGGTTCATCTATCCATTCCTGCGCCGGGCTGGTATCAACTTCTCGCCCATCCGGCGTATTACACTGGGTTTCTTAGTTGGCTCTGCCGCCATGGTTTGGGCTGCAGTAACCCAGCATTACATTTACAAGGTGAGAGAAAACAGCCGGCCGTTGCCCTTGGAGTTCATCTAGCTCGCATTAGATGAGCCCATGTGGTTATTTTGCAGGCGACCCAGGGTGCGACCCTGCGCCTATCAATGTTTGGCAGCAGACCGGTGCATACGTCCTCATCGCGTTTTCCGAGATTTTCGCCTCCATCACCGGGCTCGAGTACGCCTTCACGAAGGCCCCCGGCAATATGAAATCACTCGTAATGGTCCGTGTTTCTTGCTCGTCCGGTCTCAGATCACAAGCATTCATCTTGGCCTTCCCAGGCTGTGTTTCTCTTTGCATCCGCCATCGCCGCAGCGCTCGGAGAGGCATTCACCTGTGCGTCATTATTCAGGCTTTTTTTCCTTTTGGGAGCTGTCACGTTCATACATACGGACAGCATTGTCGCAAGATCCGCTGCTAGTGTGGAATTACGGTGTCATGGCCGTGCTTTCCGGTGTTGGAGGAGTCCTCTTCTGGCTCTCGTTCTACAAGCTCGATAAAGAGGAGAGTGCACTCAACAAGATCCCCGATGCCCACTACGATCCGAATTCGATGTAAAGCCGACTTAATCGGCTGGATATCTTCATGCTTCAACGATAGGAAACACTGTACGCCGTATGGGACTTTGAGTGGAGGCCATATGAATGAGATAGTGCGGTGCAATGGTGCAAGCAACGGTGTATTGACATTTTCCACGACCCCGTCTTGTGTCACTGGCATACATTTCGTGCGGGACGTGTTGGTTGGGCTTGTCGTCCTCTTTGTGAACAGATTCGACGTATCATCGTGACATGGATCCGATGGCAAACATTGGCTAGGTACAGAGGGGAAATACAGGACTTGTTCCATGGATCGATTTTTAACAGCTTAGCATCCTACGATCTTGATACGTACCTGGTGGCATGATAGGACATCCAGAGCTCAGTCGTGATCACTGCAAACACTAGCAACTAGTGACCACAGGCCTAAGCGCTCAACGGTGACGCGTGTAGCGTTCTCGCCAGCTTCAAGTTGCACAGGGGGTTCTGCGAGGCAGCGATCCAATGACACCCACCAGATGTTTGTAACGATTCAACCCGGTCCACCCAACGAATGCTACCCATCCTCCAATTTTTATCATCAATTCCATAGAGTGGTCCGTTAAACTACTTCAAAGACGATTACAGATCCAATCAGCACGTATCGCAGGAAGATTATGACACAACATAGGGTCGGATTTCAGCCTACATCAATGGCCCGATGACTGACTAACACTTTTCTCGTCCTTTTGTATAGCTTGCCCGTTATCGCCTTTCCCAGTCACTCCAGCGACGCCAAGCTCCATACCCTGACGCTCCTTTGTCCACTCCTCAAACCCATGGAACGGGACCTCTCCGCAGAGCTGGCACGTGAGAGAATGCAGCTCACCCAGGCACTGCAACACAAGCTAGTCATACGAAGCAGAGCAAGGGAAAGACGAGCGTACGGCGGCAAGCTGCAGACCGGCGATGATTGCCGTCAGGTAGAAGAGATAATCATGCTCCTGCATGTCCTGAGCTACGATATGTTGCGTCAGTGCGTGGCGGTTTATGTATTGGCGACGGAGCAGCCGTTCCAGGAGATGAATTGGTTCTCCGCTGCGCAAGGAGTGGGCTATGCCAGATGAACGGGCCCAGACCATGGATCCACGTCGGACAATCCAGGAACGGTGCACGTGGCAGGGAGTGCCTATTATAGTAGCGTTTGCCCGGTCGACGCCGTCACGGCCTCGACTCACAGGCTGCCACGAGGACCGCCGCTCGGGCGGGCGGGCCTCACAATACGATTTGTGTACCGTAGAAGCGCAGCAAGTACTGGGTAGGCCACAAGACGGTAGCAGGCACATAGGAAATATGTAGGGCGGGCGGGTGGGGCGAAGCGCGAGAATTGCGTAACGATGTGCTGCCGCTGTGTAATTTCTTCACATATGTAGACGGCTATCCAGAGGGAGATTGTTAAGACAGACGCTGAGCTCCGCAGTAGAGAATTTTGGACTCTACCAAAGAGCTCGCTCTCGCCATTCAGGTTTACCGTATCATTTGGAGCCAGGGGCACAGATCCAGAGCAAGCTTGCCAGTGGGCGGCGAGGCGAAAAACAAGATTATAGACACCTCCAAAAACCCACCCCCTATCGGTCCTGTAGTGTAGCGGTTATCACTACGGATTCTGATCGCATGCCGGAGTTCCGTCAACCCAGGTTCGAGTCCTGGCAGGACCTTTTGCAGGGCTGTCGTTGCTTTTAGTATCGCATGGATCGTGGGCGACGAAAGAGAGAGTGTGATGCTGCGGGGCGGATAGGCGGATGAAGGGCAGAGATAGAGAGGGGTGTGAAAGAGACAAGTGACGCGACGGATCTGGCGGGTGCGGCTGGATGGCCAGGTTGCGTGCTGGCTGCGTGGACCGTTGCTCTGCCGAACACTTGCTTCAAGTTCCAGCCGACCGACTCTGAGGGTGATGTGCTGGGCGACCTGATAGCCAGCTTGTTCGCCAGCGGTTGCTCTGCCATGTCTGGTAATGACGTCCAGAAGGCGGACCAGATAGCGTACAGATGCTATTCGAAGCTCGCCCTGCTCGTCCACGAGGCCAGGCTCGGTCCTGCCCCGGCCAGGACAGGCGCGAAGCCCGACCGATGGTTCAACCTCGAGTGCGCCGACATCGACGCCGACGCCTACAAGGACCAGCTCAGGATCTATCGTTTCATCTCCACTGCCACCCACGACCCGCCATCCTTCGAGCTCGACGTCCTGCTCGCCGTGCCCGACCTGTCGCCCAACCAGGTCCTCGTCTACCGCCGTCCAGAGCCCTCCTCCTCGTCTCGTGTCCTCGTCGAGCCTACCCCGTCTTACGTCTTGCTCGAGACTTGGTCCCTTGTCTTCGACCGCAGCGACCATCTCCGCCTGTCCGACGCCGACGCCGACCTCGCGCCGTCTTCGATCTACAAGCACGGAATTGGCCTCTTTCGTGCCGTCTACGCTCTCCTCCGCGTTGCTCCCGCCTGGAAGCTCCACAAGCGCCTCCAGCGCCGCGTCCAGTCTCGCAATGTGACCCTCGATATCCAGCTCTGCGTCCGCACGCCCCAGTCCCGTGCCAACGTCCTCGCGTTCGGTGAGTGCTATGCACGTTTCTCCCTCGCCGCATGCCTCTTCGCCACGCCCGATCCTCGTTGTGACCACGGTACGCGATATAGGCACCCCGCTCGCCGCCAACACTCTTCCGCTCGAGACGGCCACGCACGCCTTCCCACCCGTACCCCATCCTTCCGGCATGCTCTCCCTCTCCGTCACCTACCTCGCCGCTCCTCAGCACTTTGCCCTCGACGAGCTCGAGTCCCTCCTCTCGTCCCGCTTCGCTTCTCTCGACGAGGGCACCGATTTCACGCCCACCCTCGTCAAGAACCAACAGCGCGACTCGCTCTCGTCTTCGCCCTCCTCCCTCGCCATCCGCACCTCCCTCCCTGCCTCTCCGCCTCTCGGTATACGCCAGCCCGCGGCCGGCTATCACTCCCGAACCACCTCTTTCCCCACGCTCGGCGGCAGCCCTGGCTCCCGTCAGCAGGGTCTGCCCTCTAGCCTCAGTAGGCCAGGCGAGATGGGCAGCGCAATTTCCGTCGCTTCGTCCCGCCCCGGCAGCACCTCGCGCGAGGACATTTACGGGTACCCGATCCCCGTCGCGACAGCGCGTCTCCGGAAGGGGAGCACGGGCTCCGTGCGCGGAAGCGCGGCAAGTCTCCCTTCCACTCCGCGGTCTTCCCTCCGTTGCTGATCCCCTTTTCTTCTCTTCTCAGGACCTTCCGTCCTCACCCGGTCCACTCCCCATCCGCCGCCCGCAGCTGAACCCGCTGAACCCTTTCAAGTCCGCGACCCTCTCCGGCTCACCTTCGATCCATTCGCCATCGCCGTCGCTCCGCCAAGCCTCACCGCTTACGACTGGGGGCTTGCCCTCGCGGCCTCATGCCTCGCCAACGTCCTCCCGCATGCCGCCTTCGCCCATTGGCTCCGGCGCGCTCGCCTCCAAGCCCGCACCGTCCTCGCCCAAGCTCGCGCAGAACCCGAGCTCACCCATCGCGCCCTTCAAGCCCTCACCGCCCTTCCAGCCGGGCTCGCTCGATCGGCGCTCTCTCCATTCGGGCGAGAGCGCGTCGGGCTCGCCTGCGGCTGGGAAGCGCTACTCGAGCTCGTTCGGACACAGGTACCGCCGCGACTCGACGAGCGCAGCAAGCGAGAGCGGCGGCGCAGCGAGTCCGAGCTTTCTCAGCGCCAACGCGGACGAAGAGGATCTATCCGCGTTCGTGTCCGACACGTCTCAAGCCAAGCCCCTCAACCGCCATTACCGCGCGCACGCGATGGACCCGCACGCGCACGGGCACTCGTCGTCACCGTCCCCGTCCACATCGAAGCGGCCCTCACCGCTCTCGCGCAACATTCCGCTCCCCCAGGCGGACCCGGCGCCGAGCGGAAGCGGCAGCAGCAGCAATGTGCTTGGTCTCGGCCTCACCGTCGGCCCACTTCTGACGTCGCAGGCGGCCATCGACGAAGAGCTCGTGCGCATGGGCGAGAAGTTTTCGGCCTCACTCCGCGGTCTCGGCGGGCGACGGCGCGAGCGTACGCAAAGCAGCCCTGCGCCAGCGCCAGCGTTCCGCCTCTCGGACCGTATTTCCGAGGTGACGGAGGAGAGCACCGTCGGCGGTGGCGGCAGCCACGCTGGCAGTGGCGCGGGCAGCATGCGGTCTGACGTGAGTCGTGCGCTGAGGCCTGACTCGCGCGCGGACAGCACGGGCTCGGAGGAGGTGCTGGGGAAGCTCGAGCTGGACGACCGGCCGAGGCTCCGGTGACGGCGAGGTTTCCGGGCTGTCTGTTTTCTGCTGTTTGTTTGTTGTTCGGCGCTGCACCGGTATGTGCAGGCGTCCGACTTATGTCCTATGATATGTTATGTACCGCTGTAGCGTATACCTGTGCGTCCGCCTAACCCTGCCATACTCCCCGTTATACTCCTTATTTTTCACCGTCACGCCCACGCACTCATCTCCACCCTAGCACTCTCGCACGGCACGGACGCATTGACGGTCTGTCTGAATATCTTCTTACACTTTACTTTTACGCATACAATCCCAGCGTCTGCTCCCCTCCACTCCGCCCTTCCCGCTTACATTCCGTCGGGACTTATCCCCTCGGATTCCTTGCCCACACGATCCACGCCCACCGACCAGCCTACACGACGCGCTTCTCGTAGTAGCGCTTGCAATTAGACGAGACGGCCCTGTACACTTGTAGTGTAAGCTCAGTTCAGGGAGTCGGATCGGCCAGGTGTAGGACGTGTGGATTGCACGCGGACTGTTGTACAGGTATGGGAGAGGCCAGCATAGTAGTAGTGCAAAGCAAGCGTTGGAAACAAAGAAAGACGGCCCCTCACCCTGAAGCACTCTCAGTGCCTCCAAAAGAAAACAGCAAGCCATAGCGGCTTGAATAGTACTTTTCATGCCTCTTTCGTTGCGATAAACCGCGCGAGGTAGTCGATCATCTGCGTCGTCTCTTCCGCGACGGGCCGGATCCACTCCGCAGGCAGGTTGAAGCCGTACTGCGCACGCATCAGAAATCGCTTGCAACCCTATAACGCCAGACAGGTGGCGGAGGTAGAACGCACGGTGCCGGTGTCACGCAGATGCGCGGCGAAGGACCACTTGACGCCGAGGCGCTCGTACATCCAGTCGACTACGTTGCCTGGCGCGCGATAGAGTGTCGAGCATAACTGACCCGTCTACAGCGAGACACTCGGTCAGGTAGAAGGCGAGACCAGCAAGGGAAGAAGCGTACGGTGAAGACCGTGCCATGCGTTCGCCGCACGGCGCTGGCTGCGCCCGATATCGCCTCCATCTGGTCTTCGGCGTCCTTCGGATACTTCTTACATGAATACGAATACGGTGCCGACACTGTCCCCGTTCAAGCATCAATCCCTCCGTCGCGCTGATGGTCAAGGCGAAGGGTATATGCATACACATCTGGCCGTAGCTTCTTAGATCGATGTACGCGCGCAAGTGCGGCAGCGTCTCAAAGTAGTTCGCCATGTTGTTGACCTCGGGAGCTTGGAAGGGACGCGAGCCGGGGTACCAATGCGAGCAAGGATCCGCGGCGCCACGTTTCTTTTTCGGTTTGAGATCGCCGTCGGACGAGAAGTAGGCGGGATTCGCCTTCCATTTGTAGCCCTGGGCCCCTCGGGTGTCAGAAAGAGCAGCAGTTAAGGAGCAGACGCGCTGACCCAATTTCTGTGGGGTGAGCTCAGTATAGGTGAGTAGACCGTGCTAGGAGGGAGCGCCTCGCCTGTTCATATCTATGCCAGTGCACGCCGCGCCGTGACCAAGCAGCTGCCGATTTTTGTACCTGGATAATTATCCCTGTTCAGCTCCAATACCCACTATTGGCCGCTACGATGCGCGCACCAAAAACGGTCATGGTCCCATGTGTAAAGATAGCCATCTGGATTCGGCACGGGGACGATGTAGAAATTCTGGGGAACGGCGCGAACGACGCAAATAAGTCGGAAAGGAGGAATGGGACGGGACGATAAGCCACATACAAAGGTTCTGAGGAGCGGGGAAAGGGAGTATTGTTCGGTGTCATTCGCAACGAGCGCGTGCGCGATGTACAACGCAGTCGACGTCGCGATCCACTACTTTCGTTATCAGAAGCTCATGAAGATAGCAGGAACCTAACGCACCTCTCGTGCGTGCTGCGCCCCAGTGATCGCAAAGCCGGGTGGGAACTTGCCCTCCTCTCGCTTCCGCCCTCCAAAGTACGAGTCGTGTGACCAACTTCTTGCGCCACCTACCCCGTTGATTTCGAGCGCAAACATCTCCCGGCCCTCTCCACTGTGGCCCAGTGGTACAACGGAAATCCTATCAGAGTGGTCCGCCGCAAGTTGGTGCATGAAAGAATAGATTTCGTCGAGGGATCGGTAGTCGGCATAGAAGGTCGCATTGGCGAGCGACGAAGTTGTCCAGGGGACAGAGAAAGAGGAACGGTGCAAAGACGGTGCAGTGTACGCTATCTCGGTGTCGGAGAAGGAGTAGCGGGGCCAGAGGCGGTCGGATGGCATGTGTAGGGTACCTGGAGGGAGGTAGACATCGATGTAAGATGGTGCTGCGAGCCAAACGTCCCAGGAGTTCATCTTGTTTACACTCAGCACATCGCGCATACAAGACCTGCGTCGTCCTTACTCACATAT